ATTCAAAAACAAAGAGACTTAGGTATGGAAAAGGTTTGAAGGAGAAAGTCAAGACTTCTTGGACATGATGAGATACCTATCAGAGATCCAAGTGCTTCAGTTGCACTTACATGTCTTCTTGCCTGTAAAATGGGAATAGTAGTGGCACCTCAGAGGATGTTCATGTAGATTAGGTGAGATAATATAAATGAAGTGCTCAGAATGCAGCCTGGCCCCCAATAAACACTCAGTAACTGTTATTATGCACATGGAAATATCAAATAGAAGCAGATTATGCAAGTCTGGACCTCCAAGAAGTGGTCAGTGTTGGACACAAAGATTTAGTAATCCTCAGCACATAGATGAGGCCTGGATGAGATCACTCAAGTAGAGTATGTAGACAGAGAGGGAAGCCAAAGGTAGATTCCTGGGAGCCTCCAACACACAGGGGAGTTAAGTGGAAGAGAGAAACCATACAGGATACTGGAAATTAATAACCAATGAGTTAAGAAGAAAAGCAGGCTGGGCGCAGTGGCTCACGCCTGTAATCCTAGCACTCTGGGAAGCTGAGGCGGTAGAATTGCTTGAGCTCAGGAGTTTGAGACCGGCCTGAGCAAGAGTGAGACCCCGTCTCTACTATAAAATAGAAAGAAATTAATTGGCCAACTAATATATATAGAAAAAATTAGCTGGGCATGGTGGCGCATGCCTGTAGTCCCAGCTACTCGGGAGGCTGAGGCAGCAGGATTGCTTGAGCCCAGGAGATTGAGGTTGCTGTGAGCTAGGCTGACGCCAAGGCACTGGGCAACAAAGGGAAACTCTGTCTCAAAAAAAAAAAGAAAAGAAAAGCAGATAGGTAGAGTGTTAAAGAATGCAAGAACAGTGTTTGAAGAAGGGAGTGGTCAGCTAGTTCAAAAGCTGCCAAAAAGTTTAACAGGATGAGGACTGAGAATTATCTATTCAATCTGGTAAGACAGCGGTCCTTGAGGACCTTGATAAGAGCTATTTCAGTGGAGTCTTGGGGATAAAAGCCCAACTAGAGTAGTTGAGAAAAGAATGAAAGCTGAGAAAGTGGAGACAGTAATTACACACAACACTTTCAAGTTTTGTTGTGAAAGGGAGCAAAGAATCAGGTAGTAGCTATAGGAGGACGCAGAGTCAAGGGTTTTTAAAAAGGATTATATTAACATTGGATAGTTTTTTGGAGTGATGGGACCTATCCAGTTATAGGAGAGAAACTGCCAATGCAGCAGGAGAGAGGTGATAACTGCAGGTACAACCCTGACTAGATGAGAGGGGATAGAATTCAGAGCTCAAATGGAAAGGCTGGCTTTAGGCAGGAGAGGGGGCATTTCTTTGATTGTAGAAGGCAGCAGAGGATGTAGTAGTACCTAAGTTCCCTTTTAACAGGAAGGGAAGGCCTGGCGAGGTGGGCGCGGTGACTCACGCCTATAATCCTAGCACTGTGGGAGGCAGAGGCGGTGGATTACTCAAGGTCAGGAGTTCAAAACCAGCCTGAGCTAATGCGAGACCCCGTCTCTACTAAAAATAGAAAGAAATTAATTTGGCCAACTAAAAACATATAGAAAAAATTAGCTGGGCATGGTGGTGCATGCCTGTAGTCCCAGCTACGTGGGAGGCTGAGGCAGAAGGATCACTTGAGCCCAGGAGTTTGAGGTTGCTGTGAGCTAGGCTGATGCCATGGCACTCACTCTAGCCTGGGCAACAAAGTGAGACTCTGTCTAAAAAAAAAAAAAAAACAGGAAGGGAAAAGCTATTACATACTTTGAGAATATTTAAAATCTCTTGCTTCAGAGCTGGGCATGGTGGCATGTGCCTGTAGTCCCAGCTACTCTGGAGGTTGAGGGAGGAAGAGTTCAAGGCTGTAGTGCACTATGATCACACCTGCGAATAGCTACTGCACTCCAACCTGTGCAATATAGTAAGACTCTGTCTCTTGGGAAAAAAAAAAAATATATATATATATAAAACTCTTGATTCATTCATTTATTACACCTGGTATAATACAAATGACTCTCAAGAATCAGCAAATCAGTAAATGAATAGTAGTTGAATTGCTCCCAAGGCCAATTCTGTTTGTACTAGTTTTGAGAGCTTCAACTTTCAAATTACTAATTTCCAAAGTATTCTGCAAAGCACTATACTTTTAGCGCTTATATTCATGCTATATTTTAAGCTGAGCTCGTTAAAAAGAAATCAGACAGTAAGTTTCATGAGGGAAGGGACTTGTCCAATGCCAAAGCCTCAGCAGTTGGTCATCTGCCTAGAATATAAAAGATGTTCTTTGATAAATTAATTAGATTTTATAATCTCTGTCTCTACTTACTTTGTAGAGTGCTATATTTACAATGCCCATTTAGGAAGATAAGTTTCTTTGCAGACACTTTTTCAACATTTATAATAGAAGAAAATTAGTAACACCTGTAAGTCACTTCCAAAAGTGGAATATAAAAATAATACTGTTGAATCAATAAGTATAATATACTCAAACACAGTCAAGTACGCAGACATCAAGAGGCAAACTTCTTATGCCAAGATGGTTACTAAAATTCAACCAGTTGATAAATGTATAGTTATTGAAGTGAACAGATTGTTACGGCAGGGACAAGAGCAGATAATCTCTGGTTATTGGTGCGTCAAAGAGAACTGTGATTATTTGAATGCATAACAGATAGGAAGAGATTTAAACTGTTTTAAATATGATCTCTGCCTGACATTGAGAAATGTTAACACAAAAAGGTCACTTAGGATTAAAAGAGTGCAAAGACAATAACACACTGTTCTTCGATAACTACAGAAGGTAAAATTTTCACCCACCCAAGAATGAAGTCCGGTTTTCAAATATTTAATTCAGTATTACCTAGCAACTGTCACCTAAGAAACACAAATGCTACCTACTTTGTAATTAGAGAACGAGGTTGCACCCCTCATCCCTACTCCATGTCAACAAGAACAAGAAGCAAAGATGCTCAACATAGCTAAGTAAATTAGACAGGTGAACTCCACCCACCCTGCTTCAGAAAGAGATAATCATAAAGTAGCTCATCTTTTAAAAAACCAGCAAAAGGAATGTACTACTTCAGATAGTAAACCTTTCAGATTCCTAGCAATGCCCTGCAAAATCATTTTAAAAAGATCTTTTTATTCTGCAAGGTCTTAAAAAAAAAATCCAAGAAAGGCAGATTTCTAGACTCCTCATGTTCCAAGTCTAAACTGGTTTATCTGCTTACTAAAGCAGAAGAAATAGGCCCCTTAATTGATACAGGCAGAAAACTAAGTTAATCATCACAATCACAAGGTTTATTCTTCTCTAACAGGAAAGTACCACAAAATGACAAGATCTATTTGAATAGGCTGGAAAAATTAAACAAACACCAACTTTGTTTTCAGAGATGATTCTTTTTATTATAAGAGGTTTCAGTCCCCCATATGACAACTTTAAGCAATACTTCATTTCGAACTATATCCTCATTCAACCACAAACTTCTACTATGAAATTTCATTTTTTCTCTTCCAGCTTGTTCTTATCCTGGTGCAAAAGTCAGGTTGTATCTTTACTTCTGGGAAGATGGGCTGTTGAATGACCAATAGCAACTGGAGTAACACTGAGGAATCCACAGCTTCCTTCCCTCTAAAAGGTAAACATGGTTATCTCTCTGTAAAGTCAGTTTTCTGAAGGAACAGTGTGAAGTTAGATGACAAAAGTAAACATTCTCCTTGGCAAAACAACAAAGCCACCAAGTCGGCCAACACAATTTTGACTTATTATTTTTTAGGAATTGATATTCAAATATATGAGTTGGGAAATTTTGTGTTCTTAATATTCTGAAAAACCAATTAGTTTCTTTTGACTACCACATCATATTTGGAAGTTTGCCATCACATTCTGAGTAGCCTACATTAGGTGGCATTAACCTATTTTTTAAAAAAAGGAAGTCCCTGGTATTTTTTATTATCCCAACATGGAGTCTCTCAAATAGAATAAAGAACCATAAGAGAGTGTTATAATCTCCTGCTTTCTGAATTTATACCTGTGTAACTAGAAAGTTACACGGAAAGTATGAATCTGTTATAATTCCCAGAGTTTCTCAAATGACATCCAATTTTATAATTCGGGAGTCAAACTGTCCTTCACTTTACCACCACTTCAGAATTCTTGCTATAATACATCTTCAACTTTGAACTCCAGTCATTTTATGAGACTGTGGTTAAAAGTAAATATCATTTATTATGTGAAACTTAGAAAATATTCAATATATGTAACAAACCTTAAACCTAGTACCAATTCACTTAAAAGACAGACTTCATACACAATTCCAGTACTAAATTCAAAAGTCCTAACGCTTCAATAACCCAGTCAAGGTTTTGGAGCTAAGAACTGGTAGGAAAACTGGTTGGTGTTTATATCACTCTGCCTAGACTTTTGGTAATCTATATGAATAATCCCAATTCACAGTTTTCATTCTGACTGTACAGGAAATGCTTTCTGCAACCCAACATATCTAAAAAGGTTTCATTCTGAGTAATACAAGCCCTCCACACAGCCTCAAAAGCCAAGGGTCAGAGGCTTTTATAATACTAATTCACATGAAGCAAACTTATATTAGTTTGGAAACGATTTACAAGCACTTGTTATAATATATCCACAGCAGTGATAACCTTAGCAAGGGATATTCTGAAGCATATCTCTTTAAATTGCAACTGAAAATGGACATAAAAGCTACAAATACTTGTTTCCTATATTGAAACCACACCTACTGTTTTCCCTGGTTTCTCTTGATGTTTAAGATTTCTCTCTTAGCTCCACTTAGAAAATTTTATTCTCCTCATAAAACTACTACAAAATCATTATTTCATAAAGATATTTCTCTGGAAGCTTACTACTAAAAATTAATTATTGCCATAAATTGACAATTCAAATCAAATACTTCTTAGAGAGTGATGAACCTTAGGACTCCTTGGGGAATATTAAAAAGTATAAAACATGATCCATGTCCTGAAGGAGCTGAAAAAATATTTATTTATTCACAAAAGGAGAAGGTAGCTTGAGAGGTCATTTTATACAAACACAGGTAGTACTGTACTTTAAAAATATACCTCCAGAGAAGATGATAAAATTATTTTGGTAATCGTTTTACCATCTCTATAATGACAACCATCATTTGCAACAAGTTCTTTACCCAACTATCCCTTACTTCAGTTTAAACCTACTTCTCTTATTCTAGTACCAGTGGAGCTAGAAAACAGCTGGTTACCATTCCTAATAATGGATCCATTCATGTATTTTGAAGAGTTATTAAGTTGCCTCTTAACCTTTCATTCTCTCAACCTTTCCTCATAGGACTGACTTCCAGTCATATAATCATCTTTTGAGTCTCCTCAGAACCGTCTCCAAGGTCTCCTCATCCCTTTTAAGTTGAGGAACCTAGAAATGGAAACAACACTCAAGTAAGGGGATGACCAGTGCTAAGTATTATCTACATAAAAGATAATACCATCCCATCAGGATACCTCAATATCACTTTCAAAACCCCAATCAGTACCTTTACAAAAATGTACTATGATGACTCTTACACTTTCCTCTACCATAATTAGTTTAGTAGCTTTAAAAAGTTAGTCAAAATTATTCTGCTAGTAGTCTTGTTCAAGTTCTCTTACTTTATATAATTGTGATCTTGCAAAGAATTCCTAAAAGTTGTATGTTCATCAAATTTTCAATTCAAATGTTTATGTCTTAAGGGAGTCACAATCTAATTAATGGGACAAAGACAGACACATTCAAAAGTATGACAGCATAAGGTATCCTGGGATAAGTTCTTTAAGTGTAAGGTATAAAGTAATAAGAAAACAAGAGAGAAGTTGAGTTTCCACTAGTAGTAGTATCTGTGAGAGCTTCATGGAAGAGTTAGGATCTGAATTGAGCCATAGAAGATGAGTATGGGCAAGACTTTAAGGTAAAGGGAAGGCTTTAGCAAAGGCATAAAGGCAGATACACAAAAAATGTGAACACCTAACAGTTAAGCAGTCCAATGTGGTTGAAGCACAGAAGTGAGAATGTGCATTCAGAAGATATGGTTCAAAATATAGAAATGTAGGCCAGCTAGATTATTAAGGGATAGGAATTTTTAAATTACATTTTATATTCAGTGAGAAGTCAACGGTTTTTAGGAATAAAGTAACATAATCAGATCTGTATTCAAGAAAACCACTGGCAACGCTGTGTGGAGTGAATAGAAAGGTGGGGAGATCAGTTAGGAGATTACCTCACAACAATCCAGGCAAAGGTAATAGAAATTTAAATTAGGATGGTAGAAACAGAAAAGCAAGAACAGATAAAAGAAAAACTACAGTAACATAAAGGATGAGACTCAAATTGATTAGATGGGAGTGGGAAGAGAAAGGACAAAGATACTACCCTGCAGAGAGCAAGAATGAACTTTCAAATAGATGTAGGTTTGGATTTAAATTCTAGCTCTGCCACTTACTAGCCATATGACTATTAAAAACACTATTTAACTTGTCTGTGCCTTAGTTTCTTCATCTGTAAAGACAGGGTACTGAGTATATTAGCAAATCTTTTTTTCTAAGAGAGGTAAAACGGGGCTGGTATTTCTCCTCCTAAATCATACTATCTTCTACTAGTTCTTCTTAAGCTTTAATCTGTTTTTGACCATTCTACTTGTGGTTATTTTTATTTCTCAAGTTAAGTTCCAACCTCCAGAACTTATAATCTACAACTTAGCATTTCTTCTATAATTAAATTGTTAACTGCATTGATCTCTGTAGACCAGCACTCATTCTCCCTTAGAGGTGAAACTTGAGCATAAATGTCAAATAGTCACCAAGTACAGACTAATGGATCTGAACTTGGGGGCCAAAAAAGAACCCTGGGGAGCCTCACAGTTGTTTTAAGGGATCACCAACTGCTCATATTCATAAAAGATCAGCAACACTAGTTACAGAGACCAAGAGCAGCAACCCCAATATAGCTGCCTTGGCCTGATAATTATGCAACTCATAGAAGCACTGTATTCCTTGTTCCTTGGTATCCCACCGGCCTATTTACTGTCTTGTTCTCTTTTTTCTCCCTTCTTTGCCTTATCTCTTTACTACATTTTAGTTGGATACCAATGGTATCTATTATTACCAAGATGGTAGTTGGCCTTCATTTTGGTTCCATGTAGTTTATAGATGATCTTGACACCCAGACCAAAATCAAGAACATCCTAAAGTTGAACTTATAGCACTCAAATAGGTATATGTATGTAGGCAACATATACAGGTATATCTGAGTGTAATAAAAACCAATTATCTTAGTGGAAAAAAAAAATTGCACTCATATTCTTTCAATTTCTCAGTTCTAATAATAATTAGGGCTTCCTATGCACCAGGCAAAAGGCTAAGTGCTTTGCAAGCATGATCTCAATCAAGCCTCACAATATTATAAAGGATGAATTTTCCTAATTCACAAATGAAGAAACTGAGGCATGGAGAGGTTAACAAACTTTTCCAAGGTCATTCAGCTTATAAATGGAAGAGCTAAGATTTGAAACCAAGCCCATGATCTTAACAACTCTTAATTACTGTACTAGTACTATCTCACTGTATTACAGATTAGATTATGACATTCCCCCTCTCCTTTGTAAAGGTATTTATATATGTACAAATAAAAAATCCTAGCCAAAGAGATTACAAAAGGATTTCCTCATTAACTAAGCTTAAAGAAATGTTACCCACAAGGTTTTACTGCTTATAATTAAAGGCAGTAATCTAGGGACAATGTCTGTGTTTGATCTAAAAAATTAGTCAATACTCATGGATGGACAGAAGTTAATGTGCAAATTTTAATTTCTCTAGGTATAATATATTTATTATAGACATGATTAACTTCTCCCTAGTCTTTAGAACTGAGAGTACAAAGGAGAGCCTAAGGAAAAGAATTTTTTCCAAAAACACTCCTGACAAGTAACATTACTCTCCTAATTCAAGACAGAAAGGAACAATTACTTTGATGCTATAAAGTAAGAATGAAACAACAATGCTTCAGTAAAGTATGGATAATAACGATTGGATCTCTCTTAAACAGTCTGAATGTTAGAAAGGTTCATAACTTCTGCTGTTGAGAAACATCAAAACATCTACACCCAAATATTCTAAGAAAACACAAAACCAGAAATGCAAGAAAACAGATAAAATACTATATATGGAAGAAACTCTAACTCCTGAAATAAATGCCAGTGGAATAGATGCTACTCCCTGGTACCTCACAAGGTATTGCTGCAGCAAAAATTAAAGGTAAGATATGTGGGGAAATCCCTTCAGTCTATTTGTCAAACAGAAAAACAACTACTCATTTCAAGGAAAGGGGAATTTTCATACACTGCACAGAAAACTGCGAACTAACTCTTAAACTTATATCTTGCTGCTTCCTTAAAACTAACATTCATTAGTGTAGTATATTCGACAACTAAAAAGTTAAACCAAGTTTGGCCTCTAAGAAGTTTTGTACTAGTTCTACAAGGGGACTTTTATCATCCACAACAACTACAAAGCAGGCAACAAAATTCTCCTTTCAACTGTCTTAGTCTTTAGAAGCAAACATTTAGCAGCAGCTACAGCCTCATGGTTGGCTTCTCTGGTGTGTAACCTGACAAGGTAAAAAGCTCATTGAAATATTTAACAGTGGTGGTATGGGTTTCTTTGGATAGGTCAAGAAAAGCAGCTCATCCTTTTTAAAAACATAAAGAACCATTTTAAGGGAAGTCATTCCCTCAGTCCAAGTGTCTGTGTATTTCCTCAGGGCTTTCTCAGAGACCTTATTGTGGGGGAAAATGAAAAGGCTAACAAAAGGACCCCTTTCTCTCCCTATTCCCAGCATAATCTACCTCAGCCACAGGGCCAGTAGCATCCACACTGTCATAAATGCCAGCAATTAGAGAATTAGGCCATAAAACCACCCACACTCAGGTATAAGAGCACAGGCCTCCAGCTTTATTTCATGCATGCCATAAAGGATCCTGTACTTCCTTCTTTCAGGCCTTCTTCACAACCAATGAAATGACAACAACAAAAATAGCCCTTTGTCTGCCTACCTCATACTGATGTGATCAATGAAACCATCTGGGTCCAGGTGAAGGATTTAAGATTCATTTTTCTTAATAAGACTGCGTTTTCTCTAGCATGCTACACACAGATCTGGTAATACATGCTGTACTTTGAGCACTAAGATAATGAAAACTAAAGTCAAACTACTTTTTCCAGAAAATTTATTCTATCTTGTTCTGAAACTGCTCTAGAAGCCCAGCCAATTACTGAACTTCTCAAGAAATATTAGAGCCTACAAGGTTATTCTTAATCAGCTCAACAATTTCTTTTTTTTTTTGAGACAGAGTCTCACTCTGTTGCCCAGGCTAGAGTGCCGTGGCATCAGCCTAACTCACAGCAACCTCAAATTCCTGGGCTCAAGCCATCCTCCTGCCTCAGCCTCCTGAGCAGCTGGGACTGCAGGCATGTGCCACCATGCCCTGTTAATTCTTTTTTTAATATATATTTTTTAGTTGTCCAGCTAATTTCTATTTTTTTAGTAGAGAGGAGGTCTCCCACTTGCTCAGGCTGGTCTCGAACTCCTTGAGCTCAAACAATCTGTCTGCCTCAGCCTCCCAGCCACCATGCCCAGCCCAGCTCAACAATTTCTAGAACCTCCTAAAGTCATCTTTTTTTTTAGAGATAGGGTCTGGCTCTGTCACCTAAGCTGGAATGCAGTGGCCCATCATAGCTCATTGCAGCCTCAAACTCCTGGGCTCAAGTGATCCTCCCACCTCAGCCTCCTAAGTAACTAGGCCTGGCTAATTTAAAAACTTTTTTATTTTTTTGAGACAGAGTCTGGCTCTGTTGCCCCGGCGAGAGTGCAGTGGCATCATCATAGTTCACCTGCAAACTTAAACTCCTGCCTAAACCCTCCAAACAACTGGGAATAACTGGGACTATAGGCACTTGCCATCATGCCTGGCTAATTTTTTCTATTTTTAGTAGAGATAGGGTCCTGCTCTTGCTCAGGCTGTTCTCGAACTCCTGACCTCAAGCGATTGTCTCGCCTAAGCCTCCTAGAGTACTAGGATTACAGGTGTGAGCCACTATGCCTGGCCAAATTTTTTTATTTGTAAAGACCTTCTAGCTATGTTTCCTAGGCTAGTCTTGAACTCCTGGTTTCAAGTGATCCTTCCACCTTGGCCTCCCAAAGTGCTAGGTTTACAGGTGTGAGCCAGATGTCCTGGCCCGCTAAGCTTTTCTAATCAAAAAGTTAATTCTAGGCCCGTGTGGTGGCTCACACCTGTAATCCTAGCACTGTATGAGGTCAAGGCGGGAGGATTGCTTGAGGTCAGGAGTTGGAAACCAGCCTGAGCAAGAGTGAGACCCGTCTCTACTACAAATAGAAAGAAATTAATTGGCCAACTAATTATATATATATATTTATATATATAGTATATATTATATAATATAAAAATTAGCCAGGCATGGCAGCGCATGCCTGTAGTCCCAGCTACTCGGGAGGCTGAGGCAGGAGGATCTCTTGACCCCAGGAGTTTGAGGTTGCGTGAGCTAGGCTGATGCCACGGCACTCACTCTAGCCTGGGCAACAAAGCGAGACTCTGTTTCAAAAAAAAAAAGTTAATTCTATAACCTCAAAGCTAACTTTCATTCAGTCTGTGTTTCAAAATCTGATACAATTTTAGGAGCAATCAATAATTTCACTTGATTGTCTTCACAACCACCCACAAAAATCATAAGTCTGTGATTTACTCCATGATAAGATTTTATTCACCAAGCTTCATAAAGCAGTCTAGAAAAGATCCAAGCAAATACTTTATAAGAGTGAACTCTTTAGCATTCTCTTTCCTACAGTGCCTACAGGGTTAAGAATTTGATTAAAATGTAGGTACGTCATGCCAGACTCATTAGTAATTTAACCTTTCTTAATCCCTGAAAATAACATATGCAAACAAAGGAAGGTCCCATCCCAGCAATCCTGAAATAAATTCCTCCCAAAATAGTGATAGTCATAAAGCTTCCCTCTTTCTCAAAGGTCTATGCCACTGGGCTCTCCACCTTGGCAGAGGAAGAATGAAAAGAGACAAGATATTCACAAAAGGCCCGATTGAAGGCCTTCAGTTAAGTGCTAGAAGGAAGCTGAAGTTCTGTGCCAACACTAGTGGAATGTGGGCAGGCACAAAGAGATCTTAATTAGGAGACCTACAATTAAAACACAGTGAGTTTCCAAAAGAGAGAGGCACTGCAGTCTGTTATGCCTCTGAGCAAGCAAAGCACTGCTACCACCCCCTCTAACCACAGGGAAAGGGAGGCAATTGATACAGTCTGCACAGCTGCTCTATGGAAGGACAGCTCCAAGGTGAGCAAAGAGATGAAAATTAAGTCAAGATGGGACCATTTTCTCTCAACTTCCAATCAGAAGATAAGTCACTCTTCTGTGAATGCTGATTTCCTCCAGGACCATGTGCCTTAAAATAATTAAATGGAAGGGAAAGATGGGCACAGTCACATGGTTGTCAGTGAGAGATGAAGAAAAGTTCCAAAGACTGCACTTCTAATGCTCAGTACAAACCAAAGTACTTCATTTCAGAAAGTATTAACAACCACTTCCTGCAAAGTAGGTACTATCACTTGGGATTTATAAATACATTGATGTACTGGACTTTTCTTTTCATTTAAAAGCTCACATACCTAAAGGACTATACCACAGAGACTGAAAACAATTTCTCTTTTGGATAGTCAGGAATCCACAACAATGAAAACATGAAAACAATTTTAGCAAACAAGAGGGCCTCCATATGCCAGATAATGCCTGGGGTTCTATAGGTTCTATGAATGACACTTAAAATTTTATCCTTATTCTTTTTATAAGTGAAACTGATCAACTTCATCAAAGTCCTTATATTTTTTCTACACAATGAAAACTTTCCCACCAAAGTGAAATTTATCCTCTTAATAATGCCAGTTGAATGGGCGAATGAATAATCTGATATTAAAAATTACCAAACAGGCTCACTGCGGCTGACTCTTGTAATAAACTCAGAATAAGAAATTCTGATCTGACAAAAAAATTAATATAATAGAGAGGAATCAGAATACTAGAGCATGAAAGATTCATGAGCAATTTAGTCCATCATTTTATAGATCAGAAATGTAAGGTTAAAAGTGAATTGCCCAAGGTCTCATAACTGGTGAGTGACAGACATGAGTGAGATGAGAGCCCATGACCACTGACTTCCACTCTGAAGCTTACTCTACTCCATTCCACTTGTGTTCTCTGCTTCATTTTCCTTCTGCCAATTTTAGGATTAGCTGTAAAGGCAATGGAAGGAGCAACTCCTACTCTTTGTACATATGCCCAATGAACATTAAAAAAAAAAAAATCACAGACACTCTCCACCTACCTTTCAGCCACAGGACTATCATCTTTTCAAGTCCAACCCAAAAGCCTGCCTCGGTCCACATGAACTAAACTGCAATTTCAAATACACACCAACATTGTAATTCAGTTTTAATTTATACCTAATTAAAATTTGCTATGTTATGATCAGGATGGAAATTTTACTTTTAACATTTTGTGAAGTGGTATGGAAGGTACTGGATTATGAAATAGACTAGCTGCTGATAAATGAACTCTTTCTGGGGTTTATATTAAAACACCCCAAATTCTAGTCAACAGAGAGGATGCTGCTGTACTATGTTTATTTAGATGGCAAAGTATAGTAGTATGAACATTACCTGAGACAATCTTTAGAAAAATGGGACACTGACACTATGGAGAGAAGGGGAGAGGAAAGGCCAAAAAACGGACCTCTGTGAGAAAAGTGCTCAACAAAATACAACTTCAATTCTACTTCCTAAGATCATTCAGAAATCCCAAATAAAAGACCAGCAACACCTATGTATTTTTAAAAATAATACCATTCTGACAGAATTTGGTCATGAAGAACTCTTAAATGTAGTTGTTACCCAAAGAGATAGGTTAGGAACTAATGGAGGTAAAAGACAAGTCTCCCACGACTAAAGGGTTCAAACAGCAAAGTGATCTGGAAGTTCTGTCACCTAGTTTTAGAAGCATTAACTTAGGTTTTGTTATAGGCAAGTTATAGTCATTAATCATTTAAGGCAAACCAGAATATAAAGAGGTTAGAATCATTTGGGGTCATATAACCATTTCTTCATGAATACAGACAAGATGACACTGAGCTGGGAGTGAGTCCTGAGAAGCAATCTTTAGAATTTTCTATCAGCCCAGGATAAGCCCTAAATTTCCCTTTAGGAACTTTATCACTGATTTGTAAGACTATGTTAAAAAAAAAAAAAAAATGCTTGGCTTCTACACTGAAAACTACCAGGTCAGAGGACACCATCACTCTGGTTTAGTAGCACTCAATGCATACCATCAATTCATATTAGATTGCCTTAATCTACCACATAAAAAGTTTACCCATGGAACAACAGCTCATTCAAGCCCAATTCAGAAAAAAATACTGAAGTTTAATATAGGGAGTCAACCATTCTTGTCATAATGAAGTAGCAACTACAGGTAAAAGTTTAAAGGAAAAAAAAACACCTCATAAATATGATCTTATTTGAAATAACTCTAATTCCTTAACAAGCTTTATACTATATACTACTGTTAAGCAAAATAAAACACTAGTTTACAATCATCTCATAATGCCAGTGGATAAGAAAACATTAGCACCTGATTAAAACTTTGAAGGTAATTTGTCAAAGACCAACAGATAAAATATTCTGGTGCCCAGACATTAGGTCCCTGAATCCAGGTGTCTCTCTTTCTAACCAGTCTCTTGAAAAGCTATGATTGGAAGCTGTCAGCATAAAACTTTGCTTTTGAATATGCGATAACATTTGGAACGTGAATACTTGGTCCTTCAATATAAAAGACATAAGCATGCTAAACAAGAAAAAGTGCTTCTTAGGATCCCTTTAAAATAGACTAACTTCTCCTAATAGAGACTTTATTATACTCAAATATACATGGGGCTAAAATTCTACACATAACCAAGTCTCAATTTTGAAAATAAGCAGGTAAATGAAATGTCAGTAATTTTTTTTTTTTGCTGCTGTATCTTTTAAAAAAGCAAAATCAACTCACATTTAAGCACCAACTCCATGCAAGTAACCTGAACGGTTCAGTCTTTTTGTCATGTATGAGGCCTTTGGTTCTCCAACTACATGGGATCTGTGTTGTTAGCTTAAAAAATACAGAATTGGCCTTTCAAAAAAAAATAATAATCTACAGCAACCAATAAATAGTCTCAAACAACCCTGCTGACTGCAGCTGCCTTCTGAAGGCTGGGAAAAGGAGGTGGAGATAGAGCAGAGAGAGGCAGGGAAAAGGGACGCTGCAGCTAGCTACATAGCAAGGAACACGCCCCCATCATGTCCTCCTTGCTCTGTCAGAAGGCGGGTTGTTGTCAGTCTCCTGATCAGGCTGCCTTAGAAACGATTAAAAAAAGGAGGCAGGAAGACTAACAACTAAAAAATGCCAGCTCCTTGAAAGGAGGGGCTGGGGTCCCTGGGATCTCCTCCCTCCCCTTCTTCCCAGGATCTTTCCGTAAATCTAAAGGGGTGCGGGGCACAATAGGGGACAAGGGGTTTGCCCAGGATATTTTGTGTGCACCAACGGCAGAGCACGCAGGAAACGGCTGGTTGTTATCTTTCCCTTTCTGTTTCAATCAAGAGCACTCCAGAGCAGCAACCCCCTACCCCCCCCTCGCTTCAGCCCCAAGCAGCTGCTCTTCCTCCTCCTAGCATCCCCCATCCCCTTCTCCCCCCTACATTCAAACTCCCCCTTCTGCATCCAATGGAAAACAAATGCGCAACGACTCTGGCTGAACCTGAACTCAACTTCCCTTCCCAGGGCAACTTTCCTTTTTGCTGAAGGGGACTGAATAATGTTCATTAAAGCATCCCAGTTCTCACCCCAGTACTAAAGGAGAAGGGGCAAAGTTCTGACCCTTCATCCACCTTGGGTCCCCTTTAAGAAAGAGAGAGAGAACCCTAAGCCCTCCTTCTAAGGAATAACTTTGCTTCATAATCCTCCTCTTTCTCTCAACCCAAAGCAATCACCACTGCCACCACACTAAAGTATAACTGTCCCTTATCACTCTCCTCACCCCAAACTGGCTACCCCCACCCCTCCCAAGCCCCAGGGTTGGCCTAGGAAAAGGTGGATCAATAATGAAATGTCGAGAAAAGAAGGGCGGGAGGGAGCTAGGGCTGGAGACTGCGTGCTCTCAGGCGCAGTGGGTGGGGTAGGAGAGCAGCTGCTTCCCCTGGGAGGATGCTGCCCAAGTCCCCCCACAAACACCTCCCTCACAGGGGCCCCCTTCCTCAGAGCTGGGGGAAAGCCTGCCTCCTCTCCAGAGGGAGTGGTGGAAAGCTGCTCTTCTCTAAGCCTTGGGAACAGTGGACTATTTTCCCCTCAAAGATGCCACTAATCCTTCATTCTAAAGGAGGGAATGGGTGGAGTGAAGGTAGAGTAATTCCCTGCTACCAATAGGCTAGAAACTGGAGCCCTGTAAGATGGGGGAAGAGACTGCTGTAGGAGGAGATCACCGTTATCTTGAAGGGAAAGGAGGTGCGGGGAGGCAAGGTGGAGAGGAAAGGACATTTTCCCCAGTGGGGTAGGGCGGGTTGGGGGAGGATCTATCTGCTTGGGGTAGGGGGTGGAGGGGAAGGAAGGGGGAGTGGCTGGTAGTGCAGGGACCCGGCCCGGGGATGGGGCGAGGGTTCATCAGGTTTTCAGAAGCAAGGTGCTAGAAGGGACATCGATCCCCAAGGGCCAGGAGAAGAACGTGGCCCTGGATGAGGCCATCACCCGAGAGATGCCGGAGAGGAAAACTGCCCTAGGAGTAACACATCTGCCCAGAGAGGGAGGCGGGGATGTGGCGGGATCAGGTCTCTAGGAGGGAGGGAGGGAGGAATCTTGCTCGGATGAGGTAATCTGTGAAAGGGAGGAGGGGTTCAGTCCCGGGATGGGAAACCCCGGCGAGGGGGTCTGTGCCAAGGGATTTGGGGAAGGGTCAGGGGGAAGTGGGTGGGAGGCAAACGCCCTCAGTCAGATGGGTCTAAACCCTGGGGTGGGGGAGCCTAGGGGCCTGCAGCCCTGTATGGAGGTCCCAAGATGGAAGGGCCATTTGCCCAGGGTCAGGGACCCCAGGATGTTCCCAGAATTGGGATGCTGCTCAATCCCGGATAGGGGAAGGGAGGGGGTTCCACAGAGGGTCGAGACCCCGGACCTGGGGGTTCCTCGCCCCCTTACCTCTCCGCTGCCGCCTCCCCCGCCGCTCTCCCCAAACACGGCCCGGAACCGGCGCAGGTTGGTGCCGATGGCGGCCGAGACCTGCAGCGCCGCGTCGAAGCCCGGGCCCACCCGGAGCAGGGCCGGCCCTGAGGAGGCTGAGGACGATGACGAAGACGAAGACGAGGCGGACGACGAAGAGGCTGCTGAGGCGGCGGCCGCTCCCCCTGGAACCCCAGCCCCGCTGCTTCCCGCCGCCGCCGCGGCCGCCACAGCCGGGGGGGAGGGGGGCGCCCCGGGGCCGCCACCGCCGACCGGGGGCCCGGGGGGAAGCAGCAGGGCCGGGACGCGTTGCCGCGGGGCGCCCCCTAGGCCCCGGCGCCCCCCGCCGCCGCCGCCCCCGGTGGTCCCGGGTCGGGCGGGGAAGCGCCACCGACAGCTGTGCGCCATGTTCGCCCCGTGAAGTGAAGCAGCGAGAGGGAGAGGCGACAACACAGGGGGGCGGGGAGGCGGAGGGGGGGCCAGAGGGCCCCGGAACCTGCCTAACCCGCTTGGCGCCGCCCGGCCGCCTGCACCCTGCCGGCCGCCATGCAGAGCGCCGGGCCGCGCCCGCCGGCCCCGCAATCTGTATACCACCCTTAGGCCTGCGCCTCTGACGCCCGGGCGCTGCTACTCCATCCAGAGGCCCGGGTTGCTGCCTCCAGCCCGCTCGCCCGCCCCGCAACCTGGATAACTGCATGCCCCGCCCTCCGGGAGCGGCATTGCTAGGGAAAAGGAGGGGGGAAGGAAGCCCAGGAGCCCGGAGCGGAGCGCGGGTTCCGGGGAGAGGGGGAGGGGGCGAGGACTCCTGGGAGGATGGAGGCGGAGGGAGCCGGGCCGCCTGCAGCCTTGAGAGGCAAGAGGCCGATTACACTCGTTCCCGGGACGCGCTGGGAATCGAACCGCCCGGGAGAGCAGCTTCCAGTATAACGCGGCTACTGAGTCCTGGAGGAGTGCGCCTTCTCCCCCGCCTCGGGGCACGGATACGAGACGGGTTAGCCCGAATCGAACGCTTCTAGAATAAAAGAGCCCTTATTGTACTACATGCAAAACAGAAGCGTTGCCCAGTTTACTATATGCAAAATAGACAGGCCCTCAATGAATGCGCTTTAAAAAATAAAAAGGAGCCCCTCCCATTTTCATGCTGGAACTCTCTCCAAAATGCACACATCAAGTGGCAGGTCTCCTGCCACCTCCTCGCTCTACTGTGCACTCGTCTGGCTTTCGTGCCCTTCTGCAGAGTTGGGTTGTGTTTCTCCAGCATGGGCGTTGGGGCCACGGCGTGCTCCGCTAACTACGCGGTGTTACAACGAAGCTGAAGCTGGGTGGCTAACGGGGCCTGGAGGGAAGAGGCGGGCAAAAGCGCCCCCGCCCCTTCTTCCTCCGGTCTCTGCCTGCCGCTGCATGCAAAGCAGACCCTAATGTATGCACGCAGAGGGAGGGGGGCTCGCGAGCACGTTTCTGATTAAGAGAGGGGGAGGAGGAGAGCGTTGGGCATTATGATACACTGGGTGGAAGGGGCCCGCCGGCGGCGAGCTCTGTGCGCGGGGTTAGTAAGCTGAGGGGGGAGGGGGAAAGAATGAGGAGGGTTAAGGCGGGGGATGAATATCCACCGGGTTTACTTTATTGCAGGAAAGAGGGAAGGGCGCCTCTAGCAAGGCATTAGAAGCCCGCTAGGCTGGGAAAACCAAGACGGGAGGGAGGGGTTTGTGCCGGGAGAACTTGCGTTGGCTGAGGCTGGGGGGATCGATACAGCCCGCAGGCCCTGGGGCAGCCTCCACCCCCCCCCCAGCCGAGGTGGAGTTCGCTGGAAGGTCACGCAGCCTTCCTGGACTCCCGCACCGGTACAGCGCACTGCATGAAATATTACAGCCTGGGGCTGCGAATTTGGGAAGGAGGGGGAGGGTCGCGGTGAGCAGGTTGCACTAAGCTCCGGCTCTCTGGAGGGTGCACTGTACGCCTCCAGAGAAGGTCCACAGGCTCCTGGTGCTGAAAACCTACATCCCTCCACTGACAAAACATACGTGCAACGTGAACGATAGGATGGGGGCTGGAGAAAACCAGAGAAAGGGAGGAAACATAGGCAAGCCTCAACTCCCCCAACTCGTCCCGGATCGATCATCGTTCCAACCGCGCAGGCTGGGGCCCAGATGGTTTGCAAAGCGCACACTCACACAACACACACACACACACACACACACACACACACAACCAGATTCCGTTGTTATATCGCGTGGTTTACTAGATGCAAAAAGGGTGGGAGTAGCAGGAGGATCTTAAACTGCAGCCCCAAGGCTCTGCTAAGTGCATAGACACCCCATTGTGGACGGTTTCTCCATTGCAATACATTTAGCTTTGGGCGCTGGGGTTTTTGCTTCAGTATAGCCGATCAGTTACAGATTGGCGACCACGTGGATTCCCTCAAGCATCCTGATTTGTTCCCTCTCTCACTCTCTCTCCCTTATTTTTCTTTTGTATTTGCCGCCCCCCCTTCTTTAATATGCATAACGGTCTGCAGAGGTAATAGGCAGGGGACTGAGTGACAGGCTTTATATAACTCTGTCAACAGGATTTCTTCCCGCCTTCCACCCTTGAGAAAACATAAACCGGTGGGTTCTGTGTAACCTCACTTCAAGCACACTTCATTTAACACAGGTGGTAGCAGGTTGGGTGGCAGCAGCAAGAAGGAAGAATGTCTTTGAAGATTGCGTGGAGTCCCCAGACTCAAGCCTCTGGGTAGAAAAACTCGCAAAATCATCTAGTGTCTCTGCCTCCACACTAGTCCAAAAGGAGCCAGAGGAAATCAGAATTTGGTTTATTATTGGAGCTTTTAGGGCAAAAATATTAATGGTAACTTAACATTTATTGAGTGTCTTCTGTGAGCCTAAGTACTTTATGTACATTCAGTTTTCATCAGTTCTATGGGGTAATTCTGATTTTATAGCTGGGAAAACTAAGGCTTAGTAATGTCCAAGGCAATACAGCTAGTAAGCAGCAGGATCAAAACACCAATATTCATTAACCATACCATTGATCATAAAAGACATTCTTATGCCTTACTCATAAGGTACCTTAAACGGCATGTGTTTTATTTATTTATTTTCATTTCAAAGTATTACAGGGTACACATAATTTTGGTTATATGACTTGCTTTTATAATGCTGTGTCATGGTTATGGGAGTTTCCTGTCACCCAGATAGTATTCATTTTACTGGTTAGGTAGGTTTCTGCCCATCCCCTCCTCCTTCCTCCCCCTGGATGATTTCCATTATTCCTTTATTTTGGATTTTAAATTTTAATTCAACTTATTTTTCTTGAATACCGAATACATTCATATGATTAAAAATATAAAAGAATTAAAGTCCTCACTCCACTTTTGTTCTAAACCACCCTCCCCCCAGCCCTAGTCATATTGTACCCTTTAGTAGGGGTAACTATTATCTGTTGTATATTCTTCCAGAAATAGTCTATGCCTACAAAAGCATATGCATATGGAATTTTTCCATAAATGAAAGCATATCAAACTTATTTCCTGGATCTGTCTTATTTCACTTAATATATCTTAGAAATCATTACTATCAGTAGACAGTTCCCTCATTCTTGGGGTGATATAAAATAGATATAGCTTTATTTAATCAGTTCTCCATTGGTGAGCACTTAAGTTGTTTCCAATCTATTGTATTTCAAGCAATGCCATAGTACATAACCTTGCACATATGTTATTTTGCAAATGTGCAAATATATCTGTAGTATAGATTTCTAGAAGTGCAATTACTTAGTCAAAAGGTATGGACATTTATAAATTTGATAGATTATTGCCAAGTTGTCCCCAGTAAAAGTTATACTAATGCATATACCTACCAGCAATGTTTAAAAGTGCCTCATTCTCCACACCCTTCCAAAAAGAATTTCTTTAACCTTGATCTTTGCCAACCTAATAAAAATGCACATATTTTAAATTTTTTTCTAAATGACAGAAGAAAACTTTTGAGAAGGGAACCCCAAATTTTGCCTATTTCTGCAAACTCATGAGTTACTTCTGGTTTAAAGGGACCTCTAGAGACTCACTTGCTTTTCCCCTCCCCTGGAAAGATTTCTCATGGCAAACCAATATTGTGGTGGAATTAACAGGACTCAGAGTCACAAACCTGAGCTTGATTTGCAGGTCCAATAATTTTAGCTGTATGATCTTGAACCAGGCACCTAGCCTCATTATGCTTTGGTTTTCTAATTTGGAAAAATAAGGATATTAGTAGCAACTTCACAAGATTATTATGAAGACTAAATGAAAATCTAGTGTTTTCTCTCTGATTCAGATAGAAACATTCCCCCCACCCCAGGGATTTCCTTAATCATTGGTGAAAATACCCCTCTGAAATAAGCAATTTTCTTTCGCAATGGGGCCCCAAATGGACACATTGCATTAGTAGTCCCAAAGGTCCTCGGGCGGGTGCAGTGGCTCACACCTGTAATCCTAGCTCTCTGGGAGGCTGAAGCAGGCAGATCATTTGAGCTCAGGAGTTGGAGACCAGCCTGAACAAGAGTGAGACCCCATCTCTACCAAAAATAGAAAAAATTAGCCGGGTATGGTGGTGTGCACCTGTAGTCTCAGCTACTCAGGAGGCTGAGGCAGAAGGATCGCTTGAGCCCAGGAGTTTGAGGTTGCTTTGAGCTAGGCTGACACCAGGGCTCTCTAGCCAGGGCAACGGAGTGAAACTCTGTCTCAAAAAAAAAAAAAAAAAGGCAAACTTACCCAAAGAAAGGCTTGATTATCACTGAGGAGAGGACTATTCAGAATTCTTAGGTGCTGCTTTTTTCTGGGGAAGGAAGGTCAACTCCATTCCTCTTCCACAAAGGCACTCTTGCATTAAGGAAATGATGGTTGTATTTTGCCCTGAATCCATTAGTTTCTGTTTCTAAACTTCAGAAGAATTTGGTATAGCTATCCCTATGACCAAAAGGATTTTAAATACTGATCCTAGCACAAGTACTGATCCTAGCAGAGGTATCTGACTTTCTATAAAGGATTCCATATAGTTCTTCCAAAGGCAAGGGCTAGATGATTTTGAGGCCAGGAGCTCTTTGAGGACAGGAACCATGTATTACTTATCTTTGTATCCCCTATGCCAAGCAGTGTCTATACCGACCCAATTAATGTTTGCAGAAAAAGTGACCCTTCCTGGCTACATTCGTGGACCTTGGGATGCATACCCAAGTGTTCTTGTTTTGTCAGAGGATTTTGGCAGTCACATGTGCTGGGCTATTTGAGTATTTTGTTTTGTTTTGTTTTGTTTCTAAAACATTTTATTTAAAATCACTTAAACTGTCTCTATTTGAAATTGTACCAATGACCAAAACTCATATTTTTCAGAGAGAAAAAATGATAGTAGTAATAATCATTTGATTACAATTGCTTCATCTTGTAGAATCTTGAAGGAAATGTTGCACTGAAGCATTTTCTTTCTTTCTAGTTACCTCTAAATTATACCCTCATAGTAGTCTTCTGATTGGTATCCTTACATTCAACCTGTGCTTTCTGATATACTGTCATTTTATTTATTCAAGAAGCATTTGCTAGGCACCTACTTTGTACCAGGTATCATGTTAGAGCTGGAGATACAAAGGTGCTTTGTCATAAAACTTTCACAGAAACATGAAAAGGCATGCGGTTTTTGAGAAACAAAGAGTACTTCATTGTTATTTAAACATAAGGAACCTGTGGGAAAGTGTCAGAAGATGACTGGCTGGCTGGGTGCTGTAGCTCATACCTGCCTGTAGTCCTAGCACTTTGGGAAGCCCAGGCAGGAGGACTACTTGAGGCCAGGAGTTCAAGACCAGCCTGAGCAACACAGTGAGACCCTGTGTCTACAAAAAATAAAAAACAAATTAGCTGGGTGTGGTGGCACGCACCTGTAGTCCCAGCTACTCAGGAGGTGGGAGGATCACTTGAGCCCAGGAGTTTGAGGTTGTAGAGAGGTTATAACAACACTGCACTCTAGTCCAGATGACAGAGTGAGACTTTAGCCCAGTTGACACAGTGAGATCCTGTCTCAAAAAGAAGAAAAAAGAGATGACTGGCCAGATCATATTAGGGAGTTTGAATTTTATCCTGTAAAGATAAGGAAAAAATTGAAAGCTTTAAAGCAGGGACTGACATAATCTGTGCCACATTGATGTGGCAGCTGGGTGTAAGAAGGCAGGTTGGTGGTGAAACTGGAACCAGAAAATGCAGTTAGGATATTTCTGACCTCTTTCCAGGTTTTCAAATACATATATGCATATGCAGTAGTCCAGATCATGGTTAATTAGTGCAGGAGCATTGAAGATGTAAGAATGAGAACAGATTGCAGAGATATTTAGCACATAGAATGACTTTTGGTGTCCATTTGGATACAGGGGATAAAGAGGGGCTTTTCTCAGGTTGCTAACTGGGGACAATAGGGCAGATGGTGATACCACCAACTATTAATAAGTTAAGGAGAACAGGAGGAGGAAGATGTTTTTGCTTAGAGATGATGAGTTTAGTTTTGGAACAGTTGAGTTTGAGATGTCTGTGAGATCTGCAGGTGGAGCTGTCTAATAGGCAGTAGGATAAATTGGCTCAGGAAACAGGCTAAAAATATAGATCTGGGACTTGGAAGGATAGAAATGATAGTTGAAATCATGGGTATGGATGAGAACACATAAAAGGGTATGTGTCACACACATTAGCAAAGGTGTCAAAAACAGAACCAGAAGAAACCCAAGTCTGTGGAATAAGGCTAACAAAAAGTAGTCAATGAAAGGAAAAAAATAAAGAACACTGAGTGAGGTAAAAGGGACAAGAGGAAAACCAAAGGAGAAAGTTTCAGAGGAGCTGTAAAGAATGTCAAATGTAACAGAGAGGTCAAGAAGTAAAAGGACTAGCTGAGAGAACACAGTGGCTCACGCCTGCAATCCTAGCACTCTGGGATACTGAGGCAGGAGGATCGCTTGAGCACAAAAATTCAAGACCAGCTTGAGCAAGAGTGAGACCTGGCCTCTACTAAAAATAGAAAAATTAGGTGGCCATGGTGGCATGTGCCTGTAGTCCCAGCTACTTGGAAGGCTGAGGCAGGAGAATCGCTGGAGCCCAGGAGTTTGAGGTTGTTGTCAGCTAGGCTGACGCCATGGCACTCTAGCCCAGGCAACAGAGTAAGACTGTCACAAAAAAAAACTGAAGAGTGTAGTCAGAGGGGAGTTACAGGAATTCTCAGCAAGAGCAGTTCAAGGGGAACGGTGAAGGCCAGGTGCGGTGGCTCACGCCTGTAATCCTAGCACTCTGGGAGGCCAAGGTGGGCGGATTGCTCAAGGTCAGGAGTTCGAAACCAGCCTGAGCAAGAGTGAGACCCCGTCTCTACTATAAATAGAAAGAAATTAATTGGCCAACTAATATATATAGAAAAAAATTAGCTGGGCATGGTGGCACATGCCTGTAGTCCCAGCTACTTGGGAGGCTGAGGCAGGAGGATTGCTTGAGCCCAGGAGTTTGAGGTTGCTGTGAGCTAGGCTGACGCCATGGCACTCACTCTAGTCAGGGCAACAAAGCGAGACTCTGTCTCAAAAAAAAAAAGGGGGGGGAGGTGAAGCCTAAAGTCAGGAGGTATTTGGTTAAGGAGAAAATTGACAAGGCAACAAAGAGCAAGTGGAAGCAACTCTTTCAGAGGGGCTCAGCTGTAAAAGGAGCTGCAGGGGGCTTAGCTGGAGCCCTTTAGCACATGGTTGAGTTGATTTTTTAAACTAATTTTTGGTTATTATAAAAGCAAGATATACAAGGTAAAAAGTTAAATATTATGGACGAATATAAGATAAAAAGTCTAAATATCCCTTCCTTCCCTCCAACTAAAGTCTAATTCCCAAAAGGTAATCGCTGTTAAGTTTGTTGTCTGATATTTCAGAATATAAACAAGTATGTACATATGTCTGTATATACATATATGTGTATGTATATATGCACATATACACTTGTGTACATATGTCTGTACACATGTGCACATATGTCTGCATATACATATATGTGTACACATATATACATGCATGTGCATATGTGTATATATGTATATACACATACATATACATTTGTATCTTTTGAATCAATGTGATTATACCACACAAACTACCGTGCTTGGTCTCTTAACCTTTTTCATTTAACAATATGTCCTGGAAACCCTTCCATATCTTTCTAACCTATCTCTTGCCTCTGTCTCCCTAGTTCATCATATTCTTACTGTTTTGACTTTCTTGCAGTTCCTGGAACATACCAGGTACATTTATACCTTAAGGCTTTTGCACTTGCTGTTTCCTCTGCCTGGAATGTTCTTCCTCCAAATATCCTCTTGGCTCACTGTCTCACTTCCTTCAGATCTCTGCTTAAATGTCATCTCAGAGGCCACCACCTATAATTCATTATACCTTATGCTACTTCATTTTTCTTCCCAGCACTTATGGCTTTGATTACTTGTTTAATATCAGTTTCCCCCACAAGGATATAAGTTCCACGAAGGAGAGACTTTGCTTCACTGCTTTATACACAAGCACCTAGAACAGTATATGACCCTTAATAGGTATTCAATAAAATATGAAAAGCACACAGATAGCTGGCATAGTATTGTCTTATGGATAACAACATAGTGATTAAAAGTGCAGGTTCAAACTGCTTGGGTTCAAATCTTTATTTCTTTTATTTATTTATTTATTTATTTTTTATTTTTTGGGGGGACAGAGTCTTGCTTTGTTGCCCAGGCTAGAGTGAGTGCCGTGGCATCAGCCTAGCTCACAGCAACCTCAAACTCCCGGGCTCAAGTGCTCCTCCTGCCTCAGCCTCCTGAGTAGCTGGGACTACAGGCATGCGCTACCATGCCTGGCTAATTTTTTCTATATATATTTGTTGGCCAATTAATTTCTTTCTATTTATAGTAGAGATGGGGTCTCGCTCTTGCTCAGCCTGGTTTCGAACTCCTGACCTCGAGCAATCTCCCCGCCTCGGCCTCCTAGAGTGGTAGGATTACAGGCGTGAGCCACCATGCCCAGCCCAAATCTTTCTTTCTTTTTTTTTTTATTTCGGCATATTATGGGGGTACAGATTTTAAGATTTCAATAAATGCCCATTTCCCCCCCCCCACAAGTCTGAGTCTCCATCATGACCATCCCCCAGCAAATCTTTATTTCTTAGTATGTGTGTGCACTTGGGCAAGTGAATCAGTTTCCTCATCTGTACAGTGGAGTTATACTCAATCCTAACTCCCTGGGTTGTGGTGAGAATTAATGTGTGAATATATGGAACATGCTTAGTACACTAATTGACACATAGGAAATTGTTAGCCAATGTCCATTGCTTTGAGGATTGGTAGTATTTTATAAAGACAATCTAGTAGCTCTGCCACTGGGGGCCCCACTCATCCAACTCGTCACCTCTTTGATTACTCCTTCTCAGCCTCCTTTCTCTGTCCTTCACCCCTTAAACACTGGTGTCTCCTGAGTGTTTCTCATTTCTCACATTCT